GTTGTTTTATGTGTTGGTGTTTGTTCTGTTGGTTAGTTGGTTGTTTGATATTTGCAGATTTTTTGTTTTTTGTTTTTTTTTTTTTGGTTTATTTTGAGTCAGTGATCATGCAAAGAAGAAAGAGTTCAGGGTTAAATTTCAGGCAAGAGACACAGAAGAGGTTGGCCAATGGTTGAATTCAGAAAGACATAGGGAGGTAAAAGCAGGGAACATTATCAGTACTAGACAATGTTTCCATGTTATTTCTGAGGTGTCTGATATGTTCAAAACCTGAAATCTGAAGCACCTCCAACTCCAAAGCTTCGCTTTACCCTGAGCTTTGACTCTACCATTATATAATTGTGACTTCAGTTCCTGTCCATAAACCAAAGACAGAGATATTCTGTATAAAGGTTTTGTGTTATGCTGCATAGGATTTGGCAAAGCAACAATGCAGAAATTATTTACAAGTCTCCATGTAGTACTCTAGCTTTTCTCTTACATTTTTCCTACTTCATATCTGGTAAGTTTTATTATTCTGACCCTGAGCTTGATTGCGCTAGAGTGAAAAAACCCACTTTTTTTCCTTTCTTTGCCCCCTCCCCCGCCCCAGGTCCTTCCCTATGGCAAACCAATGTTTCAATGATTGGCAGCTGCTTCCAGGAGGCAGTGGTGGATAGGCTGGGAGATATGGCAAGCTTATCAGCATAGAGAAAACAGACTGCTGCAATGGGCTTTCTCTTGGTAGACTGCTAGAATTTGGGGAGCTAAGAAGGAGCTGGTGTTTTGGTAATTCTAAAAGTTTTTTGGAAGATTAGTAATTTAATCCGGGCCATGCCAGTGCTATTGGGAGATTAAAAAGGTCTCCCCAGTTGAGTGTTGTTGGTAATTCCTAGATGAGAAAGCAAGTTCAGCTGAAGCTGTGTAAGCAGGTGAGAGTTACCTTCCCACCTGGCTGCCAGGCTGGCACTGCTGCTGAAGCTGGTGTCAGTCACAGCTCCCTGACTGGACATCAGCTGAAGCCTGCAGGCAATTGCTGCCTGCTGTTTTGGTCAGGTGTAGTAAATTCTGAAAAGTGGGCCAGGGCTTGTGTGCAGTCCAGCTCTGCAGCAGAAATTAGTATTTTGTAAGGAGGCCTTGAATCTATTACAGGCACATGCATGAGTGTATATTAGCTGTGCAACCATAATAAAGTTTTGCTATAGGAGTTTTTATAGCTGTAAGTGTATGCAATTTGCTGATAAAAGGACTGGTGCTCTTGTATATGTGCTGAATTATTAGAACCCTTTCATAAAAAAAAGAAAAGTGTTTAGAAAGCTGAAGCACAGGGAGCAGGTCCCTTAAAAATTGTCTGGATAAGATTTTTGGAAGAAAAAGAAGCTATTTTTTTTTTTTTTTAATAAATCTCTTGCAGCCCTACCTACATATTTCCACTCATACCCTGATTTTCTCCCCATTGGCCTGAGTTAACTCTGCCCCCTACAGCATCTATACAGCATCCATAGAGCACCGTGGTACAGAAAATGGAAAATTCTGTAGATTGCTTCAAAGGAATTTCTCTCAGTCTTGATTGTTAAGATGGGCAGCAAATTAGAGAAAATTGTAGTGTGAACCATGGTAAGGTAAAATCATGTTATGGTATGCATGGCTGGCATCTATTACTAATTATGTAAGTGTGATGTTTGTAATTTCAGTCATCCTTGCTGCTGTAGTCATCTGGTTGTGGAAGAAAAGGGACTTGACAGGAGCAGGTGTTTGGGTAATTCTGAAAATTGCATGGAAGAGAAAGACAGCAGTTTAATCCAGCTCATACAGCCAATTGGAATTGCTGATTTACTACAGAACTGATTGAATTTTAATGAGTTGAATTATCTCTGAATTAAGTTGGTTGATATGCTTGTGGTTGTTTGAACAGAACTGGGGTTTTTTGCATAGATCTAAACTGGAAATAAACTGGAAGATAAAATCTGCAAAACAGCTCTGTAACTATTTTCAAATTAGATTAATGGCCATGTATTCACTAGGGACTGACATTGTATTCTTAGCTTATTACTTTGCCTGAGTAAAATTTTTATGAAAACACATATATGTATAGACATTAGATTATGTTTTCCCACTAGAAATCTCTTCTGCTTGAAGTTAGGAAGCAACAAAGGCTTTGAAAGCATAGCTTGATCGTATTTTTTTAGCAGACTTGTTCCAGGCTGCTTTTTCTCCTTTTCTCTCTCATTCCTAATGAGAATAGGACTGGAATAATATTAATGTTGGCAGCAGTAGTAGTAGAAAAGTACATACAGCACACCTACATGAAAAAGTAGGTGTTTGGAAAAAAGGAGCAAGCCCTCTTTATAGCCTAGGGGCTAAAGGCAACTTCAGGACTCCATTTTCTGACTGTTCTGGATTGACAGAAAGAAGTTCATCTGGCTGTTGGGAAAGCTGCTGGTAGTGCAGCTAGGAAAGGTAAGATAAATTAACCCTACTAAAATGCTAAAATATATTTTAAAAAAATCTTAACACAATATAATGGAGGAATGAGATAATGACTTGTACGATGGCATATTGATTCTGGTCTGTTATAGTATTGAGGAAGGCAGGTGGCAACCGCAGAGTCACACTAACAACTTCTCTTTTCAAATATTTGCAAGCAGCATAAACAAGAAATATCAGATGAATAAAGAAAAGGTTGAAGAGCTTTATATATTGCTATAGAAACAACATGAAAATTCTTATGCAAAGCCAACATAAAGCAGGCTCTTCTTATTTACAGCACAGATGTTTTAAGAACATCATATCTATCTCTCTCTATATATGTACACCTCATGGTATATTTGAAGAAACTCAAAGGCTTCTTTTCTTTTTTCTTTTCTTTGCTTTTCTTTTCCCTGAATTTATTCAATAAATTCCCTGAATTTATTGATTTATGCCATTCCTTTGATAGTAGGTGCAACTACGAGCATATACAAATCACAAATGGAGATCCGCAGCTGAAGTTCAGTTCAGCAGGCTTTTAATCAAATTATTCTGTGTGAGTTAAAAACTGCTGCAGCTGGGATATGCCATACATTAAATCTCTGCCTTCAGTTGTGTCTTGAATGTAGCAGGGACACATGGGGGGGGGAGGGGGTGGGACGCAGTGGGTGTCTAATTTTTGCTTAAGGTGTTTTGAGGTTGTATTGACAATCTTGGAAATACCTGGATCTATGAACTGAAGAAATTAAAGTTACTAGAAAGCAAGCTGCAAATCATTTATACTGGTGAGTTAAAAGTTATTTACATATGACATCGTTGGCTCTGGTTGTTACTATTTTGTTATATATTTTTTTGTAGTAGTATTTAGGTAAGTATTATGAAATTGCCTTTCTAGTTTTAGAAGAAAATATTGTACTTTGTATTCCTACAAACTCCTGTTACTGTTTGGTTTACTTTTCCAATATTTAATGAAGATACTAGTACAACCTATGAATAATTATCTTCAGTTATGAGGTGTGATGTGAGTTTTGGCTTTATCCTTAGGAAATCAAAAGGAAAAAATTCGGTATCTGTTGGGTTTCTGGCTGATATTTTGCAGTAATACACCTTGAGTCCTATCATAAGGATATTTTATATTTGCTTTATGATCAAATGAAAGTAGAGCTCACTCCAGATCAAGTAGCAGAGGACTCTTCAACAATTTCCTCACAAATTTGTCTGGATGAACTTTTTGCCATTCAAAGGCTATTTTCAAGTTAATCGGATTCAAGTGTGGACTTCTAGTTCAATATCCCTTTATCTGAATAGCTACATCAGTTTAGTTCTCTAGAAAAAAAAAAAAAAAATTCTGCAGATGCATGTGTATTGGTTTTATATGCCCATAGAGGTACCTGTTTCTGAAGGTCTGTAATATGTGCAAACAGTTGCCTGACAGCAAATACTGGACAGAAATGTTCTGAGCTCCAGTAAATATTTCTTGGTGCGCTATGTGAGAAAGTTTTTTTGTCTATGCCTAATATAGCTTTGCAGAGTGTGTGGGCAATTAGCGAGGTGGCTTTTCATAGTGTGAAAAAGGAAAGTCCTTTTTTTCTGCTGAAACACGTTTGAGCTAAATAGCAACACACACCAGCTTCTATCAAAAGGGATGGCAGCGGACTACAGAAACCAACCCAAAAAGGTCTTTTGTTTTATTCGAGAAATACTAGATGTCAGGTATCTACGAGTGTGGGCATCCCAGCGACATGGTCCATGGGGACCACGGAAGGGACTTGATTTCTGAAGTCTGATGCTGGCTGAGCCGCTGCGGGGGCGAGTTCTTCCAGGCGGGACTCGGACCTGGACCTGGAACCGGGCCGGGGCTTTCACCTGCTGGCCAGGTGAGGTGCGCTCCTCCTGCCCCGGATCAAGGACGGGCAGCTCGGTCAGGTTATGCCTGAGAGAACCGGGAGACCCTGCCCAGGGATGGAGGGAGGGGACACGGTGACGGAGAAGTGCTGCGGAAGAAGCCAGCGCGGTGGCTCCAGCGTCCGCAGCCCCGCATCTCCCGTTGGCCGCGGCGGGGGAGAGGGGCGCACCCCGCCCCGGTCCGGTCCGGGCAGCTGGGGGCGGCCCCGGGAGCCTCCGGGCAGGGGAGGTTGGACAAAGGCTTCGAGGAGAGGGAGTGGCAGCCGGCTGCCCGGCCCCGCGGCGGGGAGCGGGCGGGTCGGTGCCCGCCGGGACGTGGGGGAGAGGGTTTGAGTGAACTTCCCCACGGGAGCGGGGGGTGTCCTGTCCCCCGGGGGGCGGGCAGGGGAGGCAGCAGCTCCTCTCCAAAGGGAAGGGCTCACCGGTAGCGCTCGCCGCTTCCCCGAAGGTGGCTGCGGGGAGGGGGTGGCGGGGGAGGAGCCGGGCTCATCCCCGGGCGGGCGGCGGCCCCTCCACTGCGCCAACCTGCAGGCGGGCTGGAGGCGGCGGCCCCGCCCGGCCTCGGCTGCCGGGGCCGCGCCGCCCCTCGCCGCCGTCCCGGGCACAGCCGCACGCAGCCGCTTCCCGCTGCGGCGGTCCTGGACTGCAGCTTGCTGGCGGGGAGGGCAACAAGCAGCGGCATCTTGGAGCGCCTTCTTTCCCCAGTGCCCTTTCATCTCTCCCAGTCCGCTCCTCTCTCGTACCTACAGCCTTTTCTTCTCCCTCCACTCCTCCTACCTTGTTATTTCTCCTTGTCTCCCCCTTCTCTTACCATTTTTAGGTTTTTGGGGTTTTTTGATTTCCTTCTCTTTCTTCTTCCCCCATCCTGTTCCTTTTTGGACCATCTTCGTCTAGTGCCTCTTAATTTCTTGATTTTTTTTTTCCTTGGACTTTGCCTTGTCATGTCAAGATGGAAGCAAGGCATGACTGGCTCTCCTCATCCCCCCATGAGGGCTTCGAGCAGATGAGACTGAAGAGCAGACCCAGAGAGCCTTCTCCAAGCCTCACCAGAGTAGGTGCGAACTTCTACAGCACTGTCAAGCAGCAGGACTACAGTGCCAGTGTCTGGCTGAGGAGGAAAGACAAACTGGAGCACGTAAGCCAGCTTCTTTTTCCCTTCCCTCTTTTTTGTTTCTTTCTAGACTTCTGTCTAGGTACTCCGTTAGGCTATCTGTCTACCAGCTGGGGCTTCAGAAGAAAAGTGTTGCTCCAGCAATTGGGCATGGCATTTCCCAAAGGGTAGAGAAAGGAGGTACTTAGAGATCCCATACTGGTCAAATACGATGCAAATGGGATGTCAGTACTGGTCCAAACCACATGAAGTCTCTTCCTAACTGGAAAGAGTTTTTATAACATTCTTGGCTAATTCGTTGTTCTATTCCAGCGAATTCAGCACTGATGTGGGAGGAGAAAGATTGGGATGGTGCAGATGGAGGTTAGAGCATTTATCTCACGGTGATTACAGTGTAGGTCTAGAATAGCTAAAAGAAAATAGCTTGCCTTTTTTTTTTTTTTTTTTTTCATTCTAACTGTGATTTCCCTCCCCTATACCCTATCCACCCTTACCCCTCCTTCTTTTTCTTCTTCGTGCATGGGACTTTGAACATACTCAATTTATATGGTGTAGATATTTCCTTCAAGACATCTCTTCCTGCAGCAGTAGTACATGACTTAACTAAGTATGTTTGATACCAGAATGGAACTGATACTGTGGATAGCTCTAGTGAATATTTTATGAGAATTCAAGGTGCTTTTAAGTGTTCCTGTCTCAGATGATGTTTGAAAGCATTTTTCATGTTACTTGTAACAGCAAGGAAATGGGTTGAGATGACCTGTATGCAGTGTTAGAGTTTCCTGAATAGCTTATTAGGTGAAACCCATTGTTACAGTGTGCAGTACAATCAAGACAGGAAAGTAGCTGCATTTACAGGGATGCAAAAGAGTGTGGATGGGCTTGCATAATGCAACAGTCTGCCATTCTTTACATTGTGAATAATTTGCAATCACAGTCACATTGACTTCAAGATGCACATAAAAGTATTTCTTGTGGTACAGCCACCTGAAGTTTCTTTGAATAGAAATGGTCTGATTACAAGGATAAATTGCCTTTATTACATGAAAATCCTAGATGGCATAGTAGAGTCCTTTAAAGATGTAACCTGGAAAAAGGTCCTTTACCAACTAATTCATGGAGTATTACATTCCCTTCCCCCTAACCTGCAGAGTATTTTATTCCTCTTTGTGAAATCTTAAACTGGAGTTGTTTATACTTCGTGGAAATGAAAAGAACTGATTATCTATTGGAAATATCACATTTCAAATGTTGAGAAAGGTATTGAATCCTATCTGCCTTCTAACACATGTTTTTGTGATTCTTCACACTGACAACAAGGCTTCACAGTAGTAAGCTTGTAAGCGGAGTATTCTCCCATTGTGAATCAAAAAGAAAGGTCAGTAGCTTATCTCAGTACAGCTAAAACATAGAAAGCACAGAAATCTGAGCTGTGGCTTTTGTGACAGGTTTTTGGTACATGTGCTTACATGTTGATATCTATGATCAAATTAATGAGTATTAATTGGAGGGGGAGGGAATAATCTGTCAACAGTTTGAAAGCTAACTACTGTTCTGGTAGCATGTTCAGATACCTGTATTTTAAAGCATACAATATTAGCGTGGACAAGGAAAATAAGCATTAACTTGTTTGAAGACTGAAAGTGCAAAACCTTTGTTTTGTGTGTGGTTTGCTTGCTGGTTTTTGTTGTTGTGGTGGGGGTTTTTTATTACTATTTTTGTTTAGACAGCATTTTGTCACAATTGTAATCCTCAATAACCCTGCAGCATTTGTGTGAAAAGCTTTCTCGGTAATCAGTGTGGTATGAATACATGTTCTTCTGAGGATTTCCCTCCCATTTGAACTACTTATTTTTATTCCCCCAGCCTACTCAAACAATGTAAAGAAAAAAATTGAAACATTGGTATTTCTTGCTTGCCGTCAAGTATTTATTTATTTACATTTCTGTGAATACCCTGCAGTACCTTGCTATGTCAACAGCAGATACGTGAAAATACTTTGGTTTTATTGCTTAAGGTAGCTGCATTACTCATGAGTGTTGTAAAAGACAGGCTATTGCATGAATGTAAATAAAATACCTATTTATTTAAAAATTCTATTTTCTTTATACAGTTTTGGAGCAAGGTTGTTATTTTCTATTTTCAGGTAAATCTTTGAGGGTTATGAGTGTTCTCTTTCTAAAGAAGTTATTTCCTACCCTCCACTTTTCCACTCCAAAACTACATCGTTTTGAATGGTTGAATGGTATAGTCATTGACATATGATAGCTTATGGCCAATACTGGATAATGAAGATATGCAAACTTCATGAGGTGGATGGAGGATGTGAATAACATGTCATTACAGCTCTCTCTGAGGTAGTGATGTTATTTGATGTCATGGAGGCACTGATTTTAAAAATATGTCATCATAGACTTGATGCTATACAAGGGCAGATATAGGCAGAAAAAGGGTATTTAGTGAGTGCAAGTCATGATATGCATGAACAGATTTTGAAGGCTCATATGTACTCTCTCAGCATTGTGGAGGGGGTTGGGTTTTGCTTCACTGAAATGATTTGTTAAATTGATTTCAGTTCTAATAGGGATAAAATTGGGCCAGTATATTTTATTTGTTACTTACAGTAAGTCCCTGTAGACCACAGTAGGTATTTTATATTGACTTTTGTTAAAATGAATAGCATGACTTATTCATGTGCAACACTTATTAATCCATATATAGTTTGAGGGATTAAAAAACATCTTCTGAAGCCAACTGGTATCAATTTTTTATGTAAAAAGGATCTCAAATATATAAACAGTTCGTTTCTAGATTTCAAAACTGTAACAAAATTGTGGGGTTTGATGTTGGGGTTTTTGGTCTGCTTGTGGTTGGTTTGGTTTTTTTTCTTTAAACAGATCTCAGTTTGAAGAGCGTAGTAAAGAGGTTCAAAATTCAACTGCTCTATCTCTTCTAAAAGAACAGAATAACTTCATATGCACAAATACGATAGAGTTTCTTTAAAATAGTTCAGTATTTAATTATTGGCTGACCATAGAGGAAGTCAAAATCTGGAACATATTGCTGGTGTCTTGCTAATTGATTGTTCTTTAAATGGATCTTAATAGAGTGTGTTTTCTCATTGGCTAGTGGTTTTTCGTGGAATTCTCTTTTTCCAAATGGCAGCAACACAACTTTTACCACACAGGTTCTGAACACAACTCACCCCTGTTCTTCTGTAAACTCAGATGCTGTATTTAAGATTAAATGAATCTGCTGTAATATGTTTAAAGGTCCAGTGAGGAGTTTTTACTGAAGTGAGGCCTCAGTGTACATGTGTACTGTAGCCAAATATGTTGAACAGCCATAAAATTAATGGAGGAATTCACTAGAGATGTGAGGAACTCCGACATTGCAGACAATGACCACAGCAATGTTTCAAACCTTTGGCTGAAATCCCTGCAGAGTTGAAATTGTTTAGATTCTATGTATCTGCTTCAGCTAGTTACTTGTGCCTCTTCGTGAAGTTGTTTGCCTGGTGGTAGAGGTGTTGGGGTGAAAACTGTCTTAAATGTTCCTTGGCATACTGTTTTTGTTTGTTTGTTTCTTTTTACCTGGTGTTGCCTTTTTTAATGAAATGTGAATTCGTTAAGAGAAAGAGGTGGAGGGGGAGAAAGAGTAGCTAACCTAATAGCCTTTAGTTGATGTGAGTACCTATGTCTGATTTAATTTACAGCAGCTCTCCATCATGGCTCTGCATCCTTCAGTAATGACAAGTAGCTTTCCTGCTCTCCTAGTATCTCAGCAAAGAATTCTAGAGAACTTAATTTTAAATAATCAAAGTTTAAAACAGAAGCTGAACAGACTTCTTTTTTAGCTACAACAGATATGCTTCAAGCATATATTTCTTTTTATGGCAAATACAGGTCTTCCGGTCTTCCTTTTCAAAGATGTAGTGGTGATCTTTCTCTAATAACTTCTAAATTTAATTGCTTACTTAATTATGTTAAAAGACTTTAAAAATTGGCTCTTAAGAAACTGCTTCAAGACTATAACTTTTGGGGAGATTTGATATCAGGGCAGTTTTATTTCCTGGCTATCCTCAGTCTGTTATCTTTAGTAGAATCATAGTTAGGAGAAATTACTGATAATTGTTGCATCTTCTCTAGTCTTCTACTGAAGTTCTGATCAGTAGCAAGGGCAACGTTGTTATTTGCAGATTCTAAGTACCCTTGCTGTTACTTGACCAGCTGATGTTACGCAGTTGCTCAGCACACTGCTATCCCTGTGGCAGCATGGCTGCCCAGGGAGAAAGGTGGCTACGAGGTACAGGGACGGAGGGAGGGCAGTGTCACTTGGCAGCAGAGGCAGATACCTAACGTGCAAGTGTTAGGCCTGAGACATTTCACCATGCTGCCTGACAAGGCCAGGATACTTCTCAGAGCTGCATGACCAAATCAGAAATAAAATATAACTTTAATTCACCAGTCATAATACCTTTATAAAGTTGAAATCCCAAATCCAACTTTGCCAGTTTATTTTTGCTATCCGAAAACTAGTAGGTCTCTTAGGTAGCTTTTATTTTTCTCTTTTTTTTCTTACGGTACTGGAAATTGTTAAAAAAAAACACATTGCTGGACAGTTTAAAAGTGCATTTCAGCTTTTGCATTAAAATTTAACACAATGTTAAAAGTCAGAAGACAGATTTATAGTCTTCAGAAGGATGCAGTAGACACTATGTGTGTGGCTGTGACCTGCAACACCTAAGCAAAGACAAGGAACAGAGCTTGCTCTAAAGCAAGTAACAGGAGTGTAGCCCAGTTAAGCCAACTCAGTTGCTGGACAGAGCCAACAGCTTCAGCCAAGGAAGATTATTGAAAGGATATAAATCAGAACTAAAAAAAAAAAACATTACCCACATTCCCAAAGCAGCCCTAGTCTTGAAATAAATGCAAACACCTGGATTTTTTTTGGAGTTAAATGAGTTTATAGAATCATAGAACATCTTGAATTGGAAGCAACTCACAGGGATCATCAAAGTCCAA